TCTAATTCTTATGTTTAGAGTAGAACCATATCAATTTTGTATTCATTTGTGCGTGCATTAGGATGGGCTTTACATGGTTACATCCTACCCAGACATAATCAAGAATTATGCCAAAGCAATACTCACACCAAATGCTATGGAGTTTACAAGATTATACAACACATTGGTGAGTTGATTTTTATTTTATAATTTGGATACATCAACTAAGTTGAAATGGTAAATTGGCCACCGTAATGATTACGTAAGCTGACGTTTCGAGCATTAGCCCTTCATCGGAGTGAAACATCTGCTTTTTTCGCTCCGACGAAGGGCTAACGCTCAAAACGTCAGCTTTTGCAATTGTTGCGGTGGCCAATTTACTATTTCAACTTTGTTGATATATCCAAATTATTTCGTTACTCCTACCGACGCAGCCCCAAACAGTTTCTTTCGAAACTATCAGCCTTTATTCATTTTTTTTCCCACTGACCCCTCTCACCCTAACATCAGTATGCATATTCTCCATACTGTTCTCTATGCACTTCCCAAGGAGATTTTGTTTAACAATCAAGAGCTTAATTCTTAAGATGGTGATCAAATTCTCATCTTTTAACCAAAGTGGTGATTTGGTGTGATATTGTAAGAAGAAAATAGTTGATAGTTAATAATAACAAATTAATAATAATATCAAGTTCAGATATTATATATGCAAGACTAAAAGATTAGGAAAAAGTTATTAAAATGTTTAAACCAAACTTGTTTGACTGTTTGCCATCATCAGGGTTGAAAGTAATGACCGCCTGTATATACACCTATATCTTATGTGATTCCCGATGGGAAAAGTTTGGAGACATAGAAATAACTTGTTTGTTTGCAGGTTCAGAGGTGCAAGTAGGATTTGAATGCTCCACAATACGTACTGCTAAATTTCTCACAGTTTCGCCAGTGTAATCAACGCCACAAAGGAGATTGTTCTTCTTGTGGCGTTGATTACATTGGCGAAACTGTGAGAAATTTAGCAGTACATATTGCGGAGCATTCAAATCCTCCTCACACCTCTGAACCTGCTAAACACTTGCGGGAAAATCCATCACATTCCTTCACTTGGCGTGTTCTCTCCTCAGCAGAAACATTCCACAAGTGTAGGATCGTCGAGGGGCTAATGATCCAACAATTCCACCCCAGTTTGAACAAACAAGTTATTTCTTATGTCTCCAAACTTTTCCCCATCGGGAATCATATAAGATATACGTGTATGTACAGACGGTCATTATTTTCAACCCTGATAATGGCAAACAGCTGCAAATGTTTGGTTTAAAATTTTAATAATTTTTCCCTAATCTTTTAGCCTTGTATATATTATAATAATATCTTTTATTAAGCGAACATTATGGACATCAATATCAATTTCTATAGTGCATTTCCATGCAATGTTCTAATGTGCTTTACAACACTGTGTGGGGGACTTTTTCCAGACTGCCAGC